CAAATGTTTGATGAACACTTACTGTGTACCAGACTCTAGAGCCAGCTTGCATGGTACGTCCTTTCTAAGCAACAGACATAACACTCCGGAACCTCAGGACATGGTCCCCAAGCCTAGCCAGCCTTCTCAGAAGTCAAGGCAAAAAGACCCTTGACCAGCGCCTCCTTCCTGAAGGTTCAAGGCCCAAGAAAACTCTTTCATTTCAATTATCTACTACATTCTTAGTCCTTTTAATGTCACACCATTTAGCATCTACTGCATGGATCTCTTCTTTATCTTTTCATGTATTTTTGATTGGGTATGAGTTCCACAAAGAAGAAAACCTTAGTAAAAGTTTTTGTACGTAGAATAATGTGAGGCATGTAATAAGAATCAACAAATAGCTTTCATTAATTGAGAACCAAGTGCCAGTATTTTTTTTTTTTTTCTATAATGCCTTTTATCCCTGGGAAATCTTACAAATTCAAGCAATTATTTATAAACCATATTCTAAAGAGACAGTTCTCCCTTAAATTCAAAGGTAAATCAGCTGAGGGACATCCAGGTCTTATTGCTATGTGGTTTCACGTTAGAAGAGAAGTTATCAAATTCTGCATTACATTAAACTTTCACTTCCCTTGCTCGACATCATAATATGGCCATTGCAATTATTTAATGAAAGTGAGCTTTGGTAGTTTAAAGAATCATGCAAAATGTGGTGAGATTTAAAGTACTTGGCATTGGCTCCATGAAGTATTAGCGTTGGCTGTATGGAAGCTAAAATATTTTTGCTTCATAACGCCACTCATTAACACTTATTAAAAATATATGTTTTGCCCTGGCCAGTTTGGCTCAGCGGTTAGAGCGTCTGCCTGCGGTCCGGAGAGACCCGGGTTCGGTTCCCGCTAAGGGCATGTACCTCCGTTGCAGTTTGTCCCCGGGCCTGGTTCGTCGTGCGGGTGGCAGCCACTCGATGTGTCCCTTTCACATCGATGTTTCCCTCTCTCTCTCTTCCTCTCTCTCCCTCCCACTCTGTCTGTACAAAAAATGAAAAAATGTCCTCGGATGAGGATAAAAAAAAAAAAAGAAAAAAAAAAAAATATATATATATGTTTTGCCCTGGCCGGTTTGGCTCAGTGGTTAGAGTGTCGGCCTGAGATCCAGAGAGACCCGGGTTCGGTTCCCGCTAAGGGCATGTGCCTTGGTTGCAGTTTGTCCCCGGCCCTGGTTGGGTTGTGTGGGTGGCAGCCACTCGATGTGTCCCTTTCACATTGATGTTTCTCTCTCTCTCTCTTCCTCCCACTCTATCTGAACAAAATATCGAAAAATGACCTCGGGTGAGTATAAAAAAATAAAAAATAAATAAAAATATATGTTTTTATTGGTTTAAAAGAGTGGAAGTGAGAGGGAGAGAGAGAAAGAGAAACATCGATGAGAGAGACAAATCCATAGGCTGCCTCCCACATACCCACTAACAGGAATTGAGCCCAAAACCTGGCATGTTTTTGAACCAATGACCTCTTGATGCATGGGACATCCTCAACCAATTGAACCACACTGGCCAGGGCCATTAACATTTTTATTAAATATTTACTTATACATGTTCAGTTGCATACTTTGTAATCAAGTAGAATAAAATATGGAAGGCCTGTCACTGGTCAAGTTGTGATTTGGAGCAAGGCAACAATTTGTCTTAAATGCCTTAGCTACAAGAGAGAGCTTGCTTAGACTTTCTAAATGTCTGGTACGATTATACCTACACAGATATTTTGTTATCTAAGTCAAGATCTTGCCATGGGGATCGCTTCAAATCTTTCCCCTCTTTGGTGTTTTGAAACCGGTGTTAGTGACTTGAGGCCAGCATGCCGTGGTTGTGTCTGGCTTCCGTGTGACTGTGAGCTCACGGAAGCTGCTTTTCTTCCCAGGACTTCATGGGACTGTTGGCAGGATGAGTGAGGTTACGAAGGCGAAAGCTCAAAACTGTGCCTCATGCGTGTTAAGAACAGTCAGCGTTAGCTATTCGTATACTGAGGAACTTTCTCATTAAACGTCCTTTAATTACCTACCACCAACCTTTACGATCTGGTCAGTGCAAGGGTTTCTGTTTTGTTTTGTTGTTTGTTTATTTTCTTTTCACAAAAGAGAGAAGCCCATTTAAAACCTGTGATCTCTAGGAAGGGGGATAATCCAGGAGCTAGGCTTAAAATATAACACAGTATGGATTTAATTCCATTTTTTAATCCTTTCCAAAAAGACACATACAAACTAAACAAATATCACCAAAACTGTAGGGTAACTTTCCTATAAAGGGAGAAAATAGCTTTCCTGGGGTCTAGAATCAGAGTTCTTCTAGAAGGGAAGAGAAAGATCAGATGACGCTGCTGTAAATGAAGTCATGCCAAGGACAATGCTTAAAGCCTGCTCAGCCCCTCTGACGCCCTGCTCCCTGGGTGCACACTCCTCTCTGCCACCTACTGACCTGCCAGTCTCTTCATGGCTGCATCGTCGTCAGAATTCAGAGTTGATGTTAACACCCAGGGAACAAGACGGAACGACTAAATGTAGTTTGAAGTCAAGTCAACATATACTTTCACTCTAGATCAACCTTGCCAAAACAAAACAACCCTAGACTTTGTATCCATAAAAAGACTTTTTCTTTATTTGAAAAATTTCATCTATCTCCAAATCCTGTAAATTCCACAGGTGAGGATCTCCTTAGTAACAAACATCTCACAACAGTAGAGGTGTCTTCATATTTAATATTTCTGGAAATGAGTGAAGATGGATGCTATTTCCTTAGGCTGATCTAGGACACAGGTGCACTGAGCCTCTCTCTCCTCTCTTTCTCTCTCTCTTTCTCTCGCTTTCTCCTCTCTCTCTCTTTTACAACAAAATTATTTACCCATTCGAGTCTACTTTTCTTATCCCAATTGTAAGGACTTTGTTCCTTGAAGAAGGGAAGAAGCATCACTCATGGACGTCTTGTGTGATCAGTGGGACAGAATGGGTCACATCCCAGCGGGTCGGGTAGATTTACGAAAGGTGTCCAGTACAGGTTACTATCCTCATGCTACTTGTATTTCATACCTGAATAACTGAGGTGATTGGGAACCAAAAGTTCAGCTTCCTAAAATATTTTTAGAATCTCCACAAAGAGTAGAACTAGACATGTATACTTTGAAGTCTTTTGTGAGCATCTCATTCTAATAATGATAATGATAGACAATAGATGCTGGGAACTGAACTAAACCTCTCATGTCAGGGAGGGTTAGACCCATTGGCCCCAAGCCCACAGTAACAGACAGAGCAGCTGCCTTTTCCTGGGGACCTCTGCCCTCCGGAAGCTACTACAGTTCGTCCTCTTGGCAGCCCTGTGAACCAGGCCTGATCTCCGTTTCATAAAGGAGGGTTCTGAGCCGTGAAGGAACAACATAGGACAAAACAAATGAACTCCAAAACTTCTACCCAAATTCAGAGTGTTTTAGTCTCATTTATCGCCAGTGTCTTTCAAAGATAATATGAGCCTGTCTTCAGAGAGGAGAACAATTACATGGCGACGTAGAATGATCACAGCTGCATCGGGTCACTGCTCTAGTTCCACGGCTCTCGTTTCTCTTTCCAGCTTTATTGAGGTATAATTTGACAAACAAAATTGTAAGATAGTGAAAGCGTACCTCATGGTGATTTGATATATGTATACATTGTTTTTTTGTTTTTTTTTATTATACATGCCCCTAGCGGGAACTGAACCTGGGACCCTCTGGTCTGCAGGTCGACGCTCAACCACTGAGCCAAACTGGCCAGGGCGATATAGGTGTACATTGTGAAAGAATTCTTTACATATAATTAATTAAGCCCAGCCAGTGTGGCTCAGTGGTTGAGCATCGATCCATGCACCAAGAGGTCGCTGGTTTGATTCCCTGTTAGGGACATGCCCAGGTTGTGGGCCCTGTCCCCAGTGGGGGGCATGCAGGAGGCGGCCAATCCATGTTCTCTCTCATTGATGTTTCTCTCTCTCTCTCCCTCTCCTTTCCTCTCTCTCTAAAATCAATTAAAATTTTTTTTAAATCATAATTAATTAACACATTCATTACCTCAGATATTTCCTCCCCTTTTTTGGTGAGAACATATAAGTTTTACTCTCTATGTAAATATCAATGATATATTACAATGTTATGAACTGTAGTCACCATGTTTTACATTACATCCTCAGACCCTCTTCATCTTACAGCTGAAAGTTTGCACCTTTTACCAGCCTCTCCCTATTTTCCCCACCATCCCTGCCCCCTGCTCCCCCACCCCCTGCACTTGCCCCAGACCCTGGTAACCACTTTTCTCCCCTCTGATTCACTTAGCAGAATGCTCTCAAGGTCCACTTTTTGCAAATAGCAGGATTTCTTTCCTTCCCGTGGCTAAATAATGTTCCACTGTATATCACATCCATGTTTTGGCTGTTGTGAATACTGCTGCATGAACATGAGAGTGCAAATATCTCCTTGATTTCCTCTTTATATTTCTTTTGACTATATACCCAGATGTGGGATTGCTGGATCATATAGCTTTCTGATTTTTTTAATCTTTTAATTGAAAAATATTTTTTAAAAATCTAAGGAACCTCTAAACTGTTTTTCCATAAACAGCAGCACCAATTTACATTCCCACCAGCAGTGCACAGGGGTTCCCTTTTCTCCACATCCCCACCAATATATATTATTTTTTGTCTTCTTGGTAATATCCACTTAGCAGCCTTTCTAACTGGTGTGAAGTGATATCTCACTGTGATTTTGATTTGCATTTCCCTGATAATTAATGATGTTGAGCATCTTTCAATGTACCCATTGGCCATTTTAATGTCTTCTTTGGGAAAATGTCTACTCAGATCCTCTGCCTTCTCAGTTTTCTATTGCCAAGTTCTATTTAATTTTGCTTCATTTATGGTACTTCATTGTGTTCCTAATAGTGTTATTTTATGTTTCTTTCTAATAATACCACAATTTTGTAACTTTTGTTTTCTTTTTCAGGCTTTTCCAGGCATTTCAGAGAAGGAAAAGGCTGGTAAGTGAATATATGGTTGTATTTTCCTTCCTATCTATTTTAGAATAAAATTTCATCTTCATGTGGACATTTCATTAAATATCTAAAATGTATATATCTCATCAATCTTTGGACAAATATTATTGTTGAATTGCTGAAAAATAAGCTGTGTTGCTCAAAATGTAAGAAAGAAATGTGGTTTTCTGATATAGCATTTCATCATGTTGGAATAAGGTGTGTGCTTCTTGTGCCCTTACTGCGGTTGTAACAACAACCACACTCTTTTCTTGAGGGAAAGAATGAGATGTTCAGTATACTCGAGAATGGTCTTTGAAAACTGGTGGTTAATCATTATCTAGATTTATTTTTTAATCTTAAGTAACTTATTTAGAAGTCATAGAAAAAGATGTACTTATTTAAAGCTGATGTTATACCATCAAAAATATCACTGTAGCCCTGGCCGGTTTGGCTCAGTGGTTAGAGCATCAGCCCACAGACCAAAGAGTCACCGGTTTGATTCTGGTCAAGGGCACATACCTCCATGTGGTTCATTCCAGCCCTGGTCGGGGTTATGTGGGAGGCAACCAGTTCATGTGTCTCTCATATCAATGTTTCTCTTTCTCTCTCTCCCCCTCTCTCCCTCCTTCCCACTCTATCTGAAGATAAATGGAAAAATATCCTCGAGTGGTTATTTAAATATATATATATCATTGAAAGCAATATAAATAATTGTATTAAAAAATTATAATAGTTTTCTATGCTCTGTGCTATCATTATAACTAACAGTATTAAGGAAAATGGATAAAGTCTGATGAGAAACATAGAATATGAAAAATTAGAGTTGAATTGGTGGGATTATGTGTTGTTTTTTAATCTGTTGATCTTCCTCAGTATTGTCTTATATTTTCTGCATAATAACAATAATTTTTTTAAAAACTCAGATTAAAAGTGTGTTTCTGAATTTGAAGCACAACACTTAGTTCGTAGACATTTGTGATTTTTTTTTTATCCTCACCCAAGGACATTTTTCGATATTTTGTTCAGATAGAGTGGGAGGGAGAGAGAGAGAGAGAGAGAGAAATATCGACGTGAAAGGGACACATCGAGTGATTGCCACCCGCACGACCCAACCAGGGCCGGGGACAAACCGCAACCAAGATACATGCCCTTAGCGGCAACCGAACCCAGGTCTCTCCGGACCGCAGGCCGACGCTCTAACCGCTGAGCCAAACCGGCCAGGGCGACATTTGTGATTTTTAAGAGCCATATTAAAAGTTTATAGTATCATCTAAAAGAAGCCTTGGAGTTTGTCTGATATGATTTTTGTACAGGGGATATTCTCTTCCTAGATTAGTGATCTTATTTTCGCTGCTAGACAATTTTCACACTAATGTTTTTTATGGTTTGTTTCCTTCCATGGTTAAAGTTTATTCTCATGTTAGGCTGTTTCTGATTTTTTTTTTAATCATTTTTTTATTTTTCAGTTATAGTTGACATACAATATTATATCACCCCAGTGATCAGACATTATAAAACTTATAAAGTGATCATCCTGAAAAATTTCATACCCATCTGACACCATACATAGTTATTAGAATATTATTGACTATATTCCCTATGCTGCATCATTACAGCCTCATGACTACCCTATAACTACTAATTTGTATTTCTAAATCTCTTTACCTTTTTCACCTACTCCTCCAGCCCCCTCCCATCTAGCTACCACCAAAATGTTCTCTGTATCTATGAGTCTGTTTCTATTCTGCATGTTTATTTTGATTTTTAGATTCAATTATTGATAGATATGTATTTACTGCCACTTTATTGTTGATATTTTTTATCTTTTTCTTCTTCTTAAAGAAGACCCCTTAATATATCTTGTAATACTGGTTTGGTGGTGATGAACTCTTTTAGCTTTTTCTTATCTGAGAAACTCTTTATCTGACCTTCAATTCTAAATGATAATTTTGCTGGGTAGAGTAATCTTGGTTGTAGGTCTTTGTTTTTTATCACTTTGAATATATTTTGCCACTTCCTTCTGGCCTGCAAAGTTTCTGTTGAGAAATCAGCTGACAGTCTAATGGGTGCTCTCTTGTAGCTAAGTAAACTGCTTTTTTCTTGCTGCTTTTAAGATTCTCTCTTTGTCTTTAACCTTCGGCATTTTAATTGTGATGTGTATTAGTGTGGGCCTTTTTGGATTCATCTTATTTGGATCTTTCTGGGCTTCCTGGATGTGTATGTCTATTTCTTTCACCAGGTAAGGGAAGTTTTTCTGTCATTATTTTTTCATCTAGGTTTCCAATTTCTTGCTCCCTTTCTTCTCCTTCTGGCACGCCCATAATGCAAATGTTGGTACACTTGAAGTTGTCCCAGAGTCTCCTTACATTATCTTCATATTTTGCTATTCTTTTTTCTTTTTGCTGTTCTGATTGGGTGTTTTTTTGTTTCTTCAAATTCCAAATATTTGATTTGGTTCCCAGTGTCCTCAACTCTACTGTCGATTCCCTGTGAATTAGTCTTCATTTCAGTTAGTGTATTCTTTATTTCCGACTGGTCCTTTTTTATGCTGCTGATGTTCTCACAGAGTTCCTTGAACATCTTTATAACCATTGTTTTGAATTCTGTATCTGATAGTTTGCTTGCTTCCATTTCATTTAGCTCTTTTTCCTGGAGATTTCTCCTGTTCTTTTATGTGTGATATGTTTCTTTGTGTCTGCATTTTGGTGTTGGTTTCTATGTATTAGATAAAGCTCCTATGTCTCCCAGACTTGGTAGAGCGGCCTTGTGTAGTAGGTTTTCTGTAGGGCCCAGCAGCTCAGCCTCCCTAGTCACCTGAGCTGGGCACTTCAGGTGCACCCCTGTGTGGACTGTGTGCACTGTCCTGTTGTAGTTGAGCCTTGATTGTTGTTGGCATCTCTGGGAGGGATTGACCTCAGGCCAATAGGCTGTGAGGACCAGCTGTGACTACAGCTGAAGAGCTGCTGTGCAGGAGCCAACCTTATGGAGCAGGACTTGCTTCAGTGGGGCTGTGGTTCTCAGCGAGTCTGCCCCTTGAGTATGTTGCTTGTGGAGGTGGTAGGGTTATAATCTGGCATGGTCCGAAGTGGACCACAGGGTGCACTGGTTCTGGACCTCCCGGGAGGTATAAAGTAAGCCACTTCCTGTGCCTGGGGCCACCTGGCTTGAGCTACAGAGTGATCTGCAGATGGCTGCTACTTGTGTTCATCTTGGAGGTGTCCAGGAGAGACCAAGCTGTCTTGCAGGTGTCCAGGAGAGACCAACCAAGGCAGGCAGCCACCAGCGCTGGTCCTGGGGCCATTTATCAAGAAGTATGGGGTACGCTGAGGCCAGCTGCTGCTTGTTTGACAGATTTTAGGAAAGTCTGAAGCATGAGCCAAGACAGGTCATTCATATGGGAAAGCCCCTGGAAAACAGCTCGGATGAACCTGCAGCTGGGTGGGGTGGGGTCTCAGGGAATCACGAGGGCAGGCGAAGAGTATGAGCCAAGTTGATGGAGACTCAGATATTGTCCTGTCAGCTCTTTGTCAGGGAGGGCTGAGCAAAGGAACAATGACTTCTGCCAGCACTATTTTCTAGGAGAATTCTGCCCCTGGCCCCCAGCTCTTGCCCTGATGCCAGAGAAGTTAGTTCTTCCCCGTGTGTCCCTGGTTCATTTCAAGCTGCTATCCCAACACTGGGACTCAGAGGGAGCGAGTCTGAGAATATCCATGTGTGGGCCCTTTAAGAGGAACTACCTGGGGCTCCAGCAGCCTCGGTGTCACTCAGCCACAATCTCTGCTGGTTTTTACAGCCTTTGGGCATTGGAACCCTGGGCTGAAGGGTCTGGTGTGGGGCTAGGACTCCTCGCTCCAAAGAGGGGACCTCCACAGCCAAGATATCCATCCAATTAAAAACCACCTCACATGAGTGTGGGACCATCCTGTTCCACACCTTCACTCCTGCCAGTCTCCATGTGGCTTCTTCTTTAATTCCCTAGTTGTAAGACTTCCATTCAGCCAGATTTCAGGAGGTTTTGAATGGTTTTTCTGTAGTTTAGTTGTAATTTTGATGTGGTTATGGGAGGAGGCGAGCACCGCCTGTACCTACACCATTTTAACCCCCACCGGTATTGATTCTTTTTCTGATTTCTTCACTCTAATATGTTGAAAGATGACCCTTCAGAAGACAAGGAAAATAATGAACTGGCATCATGTATAATGCAGTGGTTATTACATGGATTAGTAGCAAATATTAAACAAGTTTAAATTACAGTTCCAGGGCTCTGATATCGTCAATAGATTGTGTTAGCTATCTAGTTAGGACAAGAAGTAAATGGCTCCGTGATCATCTGCATCACAAAGGAAAAGAAATTTATCCAAAGTCATGCTTTACCTTCGGTTGTGACATTATCTGTAATTCCCAAGATTAGCTGCAATTTCAACAAAGTGTAAAGCAGTGCAAAATTGCCATCTTGTTCCAGAATATCAGCAAATTCTTTCATACCCAGAGGAGGAAATTAGAATGTAAATTCTTGGCTGGTGGGGAAGGGGTAAAGGGGATGAAAATGCTATTGCTCAAGGGGATGGAGAGCCAGAGTTATTTTTGCCCATGTCACTTAAATGCTTTCAGATTGATAGGGAGAGCACATCTTTTTATGAAGCTTCTCAAATATTTTAAAGATATTTTTATTACAACAAAGAACTAATTAAACAAATATGATGCAACCACCACTTTTTATCATAATCCTGGAAATTTCCTCCTCAAGGACAACATCAAATTAATTGTCATTCTTTAATCTCTCTTTGGGTCTTTCTATCCTGGTGAGGTACAAATGCAAAGTGCTAATCGATGTCAGTCACAGAGCTTCCACAAGACGACCTGTGAAATGTACACCCACCAGTGGATATGCATGAGCTACCCAGGTCCCAGTCACTTGGGTGCCCCATCTCAGATGCTTGACCCAGGATGGGATGATTTGAGCAGAACCTGCCTTTTACATAATCAAACATTAGAATGATTGG